GTGGAGGAAGACAGCAAAAGCAGCAAGAGCAAAAGGGAGGAGCGGCAACAAGCAGCCTCTTTCCCTCCCTTATACTGTATGCAAACTACCCACCCCAGGGTGGGTGTAGCACTCACATCCATAATCCCAACAATGGATCATGGATCAATCATAAACTCTAGAAGGCCATCCCATGACTGCATGAGGATTTGGGGGACCATGACATCCCACCTCACCATCCAACCTCACCTGGCTCCTTCCCTGGCTTACTGCTGCTCATACGCCAGGGAAGGAGGCCACCAGGGCAGCAAGAATGGAGGCGGGGTATCCAAGTGCCACATCTATTTCTGGGAAACTAAGGCTTTACTTCAGCTGCCCAGGGCCACTGTATTTCCTTTCATTCAGTCATTCAGCAAACACCCCTGAGCTCCTGTGAACTGATCCCTGTACTGACCAAATCCCTGTCCATACCCTCCCCTGAGTACCTATTAAGCTCAGGATTACTAGAAGTAGCTGAGGTGGTCCCCGGGACAGATCCGACCCCACCTGAGCATCTGGGCTGGGACTCAAAATATGAATAGGAGTTTGCAAGGCAAGGGTCAGGCTTTTGTTGGCAGAGGAGTCCCAGTTTGCAAAGATGAGAAGCAGGAGAAGCAGCATGAGTGTGTGGTGCATGACAGCAGTATGTAGGATGCAGGATGGAGCAGGCAGGCCTAAGAGTGCAACAGGGCACCGTGGACATCGGATTTTTTGTGTGCACTGGCAACATTAGGTCCATATTTTCCATGGCGCCTCCTGCTATGCCTAAAGAGTGGACAAAGGGGTGGGATTGTGGGGGTGAGCTCAAGCTTATGCCGGACGCATTGAGGCTATGCCCTCAAAATGGGATGGGAAAATAATTGGTGACCCTCAGGTGGAGGAGGTGAGCACCTGACCTTAAATCTCACCTGGATACATGTCTTTCTGTATAAAAGGTCTGGCTAGCCAGCCACAAGTTCTTATTTCTCTCCCAAGGAGAGGATTCAAGCAAAATCCCACTTGTATGAAATAAATAGACAACCAGGCTGGGATCTTCACAGGGAAAGTTTTAATTACGGAGAAAAATTGTTTTCCGTGCCCCCTGCCCCTGTAAAAAGAAAGATAGCTCAGGCAATTATGGACAATCATAGCCTAACATTCCTAGCCTAGTCCAGGGACCAGGCATGGGGGTGCACACATGCATATGTGCCTGTGTTGATACATGTAAAAGCATCCAGTGCCCTGCTGCAACTGTCCCCACAAATCTGTGCGTACGTGTGTGTATATGTACACACAAATGGGGCACACAGCCCTGAGTGTGCTTGTGTTGACATGTAGAGATCACATACACAGCCTGGCTGTGTCCACATGAGAGTGTATTTGTGCGTGTGTGCCCATGTGTGCGCATGCATGTGTGTACATGCTCAGATGCGTCAGGTAACCTTCCTTGCAAGAAGGAAGGTTACGTCTGTAGCTACTTGTTCTGCTGGATTGAGGTCTGGCTAGCCAGACCTTTTATACAGGTAACCTTCCTTGCAAGAAGGAAGGTTACGTCTGTAGCTACTTGTTCTGCTGGATTGAGTTGTCCTGCATTTGTATTTCTGTGTGTGTATGCATTTGCCCCTGTATGTGCCTGCATTTGCACACATGTGCATTTCCAGGGAGTATTCATTCTGTGCCCATGAGCCTCCTCCTATATATGGGTCTTCCAGCTTGTCTTGGCCCAGGTTGCTCCCTCCCTACCCTCTGCCTTCACTCCGGAGAACTCAGCCATCCTAGGGACACTACATAGTCTGCAGGCACTTCTAAGTCCCCTAAATTTGTACACCATGTTTTAAGCATTTTTCAGTGGGAAGAACCACAATTCTCATCACTTTCCTACATCACATCACTTATGTCCCCACCATCCAAACAAAACCCTGATAGGCTCAAAACCACTACTTTAGAGGCCCAGGAAGACTTTTACTGTATTTTGAGATGAGCGTCTTACTGCGTTGCCTAGGTAGTCCTCAAGCTCCTAGGATCAACTACCTTCCAACCTCAGCCTCCCAAGTAACAGAGACTACAGACATCCAGTACCACACCTAGCTAGGGAACATTACAAAAGGAATTCTGTCCACACAACTCACTTGCTCCCTAGCCACTGGGGTCTGCTGTACCCACCTGTGCTGTGGGTCTCTTTCCCCTAGGCTTTCCCTGAGCCAACTGTGTGAACCATAGTTCCTCCCGTTCTACATGCACTGCCTCCTACCATTGAAGCCCACTGTGCTCTTTTCCCCGCCCTTCCCCTGTCTACCCCACTTCAGCAGACCTGATAGTTCCCCATCCTGGATCCTGTAGCATCCTGATTTCCCATCATGCTAAACAAAGCTGATGATCCATGCCCTGCCCCTTGGCTGGTATGACAGAGAGCAGACTTTGTCTCCCTTATGCTTATGTCCTCTCTGTGAGACTGAGAAGCACAATCAGTGTCCCAGGATGGAGGACTGACCTCCCTAAATGCAAATTAAAATCACATTTGCATACTTACAGTGAACACTTACTGTATGCTAAGAGTATTTATATCGTACTCCAATGGTGAGCCAGAAATCATCCTCCCACTTGTTTAGAAGGGACGTGAAACTCAGGAAGGTAAAGACAACCAAGGTGGTGCACAGAAGAGCTGGGTTAGAGCCCAGGAATATGGAAAGCACAGCCTGGCCTCTGACACCTTCCCATAAGCTTTAGTTCTCATCTCCTCCCCAGCTCCATAAGCCATGGTCTGTGGCTCTGTGAAGGTCCCAGCCTGGGAACCTGCTGACCCTGGGCTCAAGGTCATGAAGGAAGGCCTGCTGGTGTGGGGGAGCCCCGGCTGAGAAAGGTCACCTGAAACCATCCCTCCTTCCCCAGCCCCGGCCAAGAACACAGGACCTGTGACCCCATGCAGGGCCGAGGGCTGCTGAGCACCTGGAATGTCCCGGCCATCACAGAGCCTCCCAGCCCCACCGCAGTGCAACACCCCAGCTGCTGCCCACCCCCACCCTGACCCATCAGAAAGAGAAAGTCCTTGGCCGGAACCAGAACTTAGTCCAGTCAGGCTGTGGGACCGTGGGGAAGTCCCTCCATCTCTCTAAGCCACACTAGAATCAGGCCAGGAGAAAAAAGCCTGGAAAAAGGCCTGGGGTAGAGGAGAAATGGCAAAAGGAACAGTTCAGTTCGCCCCACAAAGCCCAGAGGTCAAAAGAATCCTTCACTGGTTGGACCGTGACACAGGTAACCAGTGGTTGCCCTATTAGCCCCAGGTTGGAAATTTTTCTCCTAATAAGTAGTTAAGGATTTCACAAGTTTAAAAAGATGAAAAAAAATATATATATGGGCATGGTGGGAAGTGGTGAGACAGGTGGGAAACAGCTTGACTCTTCCCATTTCCTATGACAGCTAGAAGGGGGTTCAACCAACGGGTCTCTTGTCCTTCTCCGTTGTTTTCCTTCACTCCCTGTTGGTCCCCTAAGGACTGAGGCACCCAGACCTCCCACTACCCCTGAGGTTACTTTGCACAGCCACACCACGTGGCACACTGACAGGAAGTATAGCCCGGCTGACAGCCGAGGTGCCCCTCACCCGCTCCTGCCTCTCCAGGTGCTGTTGCTGCTTTCCAGAAGAAGCTGCCAGCAAAGAACCTAACAGGGCAAAGATCAAGGAGGAATCTGCACCACTGTTAATGTCCCTGAAACCCCAAACCCCAAAAAGCCACGATTAACATGGCCAGCCCTCCTGGAGATTCCCCCAAAGCAGCAGGAGTCCCAGTTCTAGCCATGCCATTTTGAGGAGACACCTGTCAAACAAGCAGCCACCTTTCCCAATGTTCCCAAAGCTGTTACTATGACAGATGTGCTTGGCGGTCCCAGATGCCTTATACCTACTCCATGAGATGT